GATCGAGAAGGGATCTTTGACACCTTCACAAATTCAGCAGCAGCAGCATCAGCAGCAGCGGCATCAGCAGATGATCCAACATTACCAGCAGCATCATCAGCAGCATCATCGCTCTCAGAGCGACGTGTCTGTGGGCATTGATCCAGAAGATGACGACGATGACGACGACGATTATGATGATGATGGTGGTGGTGGTGATGAAGACGGTGGTGGTGGTGGATTTCACGACAGAGTTGGCGAAATGTTTCATCAACGAGGAAGACAAAGACGCTGTGACGACGACGACGACGATGGTGGTGGTGGTGATTATAATAATGATGGTGGTGGTGGACGCATCAACATTGACAGGCGAACAATCTTCAATCAGCGTGGCCATGCCAAGTCAACCACCGCACGAGATGATGCCCGCGATGACACCGCTGGCCACGAAGCAGCAACATCATCATCAGCAGCAGCACCACCACCATCATCATCATCAGCTGCTGATGATGATGATGGAGGAGTTGGTGGAGGAGCATGCGTCTTGTGCGAGGCGTGGGAGAGCCGCACGCTGCTCCTGAACTCGAGTCGAGGGGGGAGAGGCCTCCCCTTCTTTCCCTTCCTCCACGTCGTCAGCCGCGCCCTGGGGGGGGGCCCCACCGTGGGGGGCACCCCCCCAGGGAGGGCCCCCCCCGCCGCGAGGGGAGCCCCCCACGTGCGCACGTGCGCCGCCTGCGGGGAGGCGCTGCTCGAGCAGTGGAGGAGGCAGGAGAGGGGAGGGGTTGGCGTCGAGGCGCGGAGGTACGAGGGTGGGTGGGGGAGGTGGGGGGAGGTGGGGGGGTGGGGGGTGGGAGGTGGGGTGGTGGTGGGGGGGGGTGGTGGGGGGGGGAGGTGAGTGGGGGTGGTGGGGGGTGGTGAGGTGGGGGGTGGTGGGGAGGTGGGGAGGTGGGGGGAGGTGGGTGGTGGGTGGTGGGTGGGTGGGGGGGAGTGGGGGTGGGGTGGGGGGGAGTGGGGGTGGGGTGGGGGGTGGGGGAGGTACGAGGTGGGTGGTGGGGGTGGTGGGGGGAGGTGGGTGGTGGGGGGTCACGCTGATAATGATGACGATCAGCAGCAGCAGTGTCATCAGCAGCAGCAGTACCATCATCAGCAGCAGTATCATCAGCAGCAGCAGTGTCATCAGCAGCAGCAGTACCATCATCAGCAGCAGTACCATCATCCGCAGCAGTATCATCAGCAGCAGTAGTGTCAGCAGCAGCAGCAGTATCATCAGCAGCAGTGTAATCAGCAGTAGTGTCAGCAGCAGCGGTATCTGCTGATGATGATGACGATCAGCAGTAGTGTCATCAGCAGCAGCAGTATCATCAGCAGTATCATCAGCAGTAGTGTCATCAGCAGCAGCCGTATCAGCGGTGTTAAGAGCAGTGTCATCAGCAGCTGTGTAACCAATACTATTACTATCAGTTTGTGTCATCACGATGAGCAGCATAATTTAGCAGCGTCATCAGCAACAACATCATCATCAGCGTCATCAGCAGCAGCAGAGTCATCAGTATTACATCGGCGCCTGTGTTATCATCAGCAACAGCAGCAGTATCAATAGTATCATCAGCAGCAGTGCCATCAGTAGTTTCATTGTGAAGTGAGGTCATCATCATCAGTCGCAGTGCAGTTATAATAATGAGCCAGCATCAGTGCCATCATCATCAGCAGCATGTGTATCATGATCAACATCAGCAGATGATCAGCATCAGCAGATGATCAGCATTACGATCAGCATCAGAGTCATATTCATCAGCAGCAGCAGCATCAGCAGCAGCAGCATCAGCAGCAGCAGCATCAGCAGCAGCAGCATCAGCAGCAGCAGCATCAGCAGCAGCAGCATCAGCAGCAGCAGCATCAGCAGCAGCAGCAGCAGCAGCAGCAGCAGCATCAGCAGCAGCAGCATCAGCAGCAGCAGCATCAGCAGCAGCAGCATCAGCAGCAGCAGCATCAGCAGCAGCAGCATCAGCAGCAGCAGCATCAGCAGCAGCAGCATCAGCAGCGTTATCGTTCGCCAGATTCCCACAATGCAATTGGGATTGTGGCCATCGTACAGAGAAAACCTGGCGATGTCAACATGAAAATGTCGTTTTCAGGGAATTTGAATCATCGTGCAAATGCCGCGAGCTGTCGTTGTGACGAGCTTGGGAGATTGTAACGCATGCCCGGGGTCATTCCACGGCAGTGTGGCGGGGCCCGGCGTGTCGGGCACCATCTGTTGACTTCACCCCCCAAAGTGGTAGCAGTTAAATTTCGATTTAAAGTTTTCGTGACTGCGGGGATTCATCTTCTTGATTCTTTCGGTAAAGACACGTGGAAGGGAAATAATAAAATAATAAAAATAAAACATAATAAAATATTAAATTTCTATTTAAAGCTTTCGTGACTGCGGGGATTCATCTTCTTGATTCTTTCGGTAAAGTCACGTGGAAGGGAAGTAATAAAATAATTAAAATAATAAAACATAATAAAATAATTCTCACGACGTTTCGGCCACAACGCAAGCAGCCGTCAAGGCGCCCTTCCTCCCCTAACCCAGCTTAAATATACGCTGCCAAGCCTGGTGGTGTTCATTCAGACGCTGCCTTTCCGACAGACCTGGTCTTCACCTGAGGACGGATGCTTGCGTTGTAGCCGAAACGTCGTGAGAATTGTATTTTATTATGTTTATATTTTTATTATTTTATTATTTCCCTTCTACGTGACTTTACCGAAAGAACCAAGAAGGTGGTACCAGTTGTTGTCGATGTGCCGAGATGAACAACACCACGCGGCTCAGTCTAATGCCGGACCTTGTTGACCCACACTCCACGTTTTAATCAGACCGCGTGCCCGGGGCATGGATGAATCGTCACGTCCCATGATGGCTTGAGTAGGCCTTCATCCAGCAGTGGATTGTTCATGGATGATGATGATAATGATGATGATGATGATCCATTTCACAAATTCAAAGGGATCAACCACAGGACCTCAGCTGATCTGGCTCAGTGTCTCTGACACGGCCATTATAACCCCCTGAGAGACAGACAGAGACACCCAGACCCAGGGTTCGAACCTTAAACCCAGCATCTCAGCTGGTCTGGCTCAGTGTCTCTGACACGGCCATTATAACCCCCTGAGAGACAGAGAGACACCCAGACCCAGGGCTCGAACCTTAAACCCAGCATCTCAGCTGATCTGGCTCAGTGTCTCTGACACGGCCATTATAACCCCCTGAGAGACAGACAGAGACACCCAGACCCAGGGTTCGAACCTTAAACCCAGCATCTCAGCTGGTCTGGCTCACTGTCTCTGACACGGCCATTATAACCTCCTGAGAGACAGACAGAGACACCCAGACCCAGGGCTCGAACCTTAAACCCAGCATCTCAGCTGATCTGGCTCAGTGTCTCTGACACGGCCATTATAACCCCCTGAGAGACAGACAGAGACACCCAGACCCAGGGTTCGAACCTTAAACCCAGCATCTCAGCTGGTCTGGCTCAGTGTCTCTGACACGGCCATTATAACCTCCTGAGAGACAGAC